CCCCCCCCCCATCTGTGTTCAGCACACATGCTAATTAGAGGTTTCAGCCCTGTGTTCGCTTTAAAAGGATCCTCGTGCAGCACTTTTCCTGTCACTGTTTCCTAACAACACTCACAACACGGTTCATTTGTTTCAGCTACTGCACTCGTTTGCTTTGCTGCAGCTGAAACAAAGGAGAATCAGTTTTACTTGAAATTCTCATAATGGAAAGGAGAGCCGGGCATTTCACCCAGAGACAGAATCAGCTGACGTGGAGATTCAAGTTGTTTCGCAAGACATTCCTGTTGTTGTGAGGGATGCCACAGAGGCAGTCAACTTACATTTAGCAGAAACGTGTCGTAAATGCTGCTACCTGCTGTTTCAGAGCTCTGAATGTGTCATTAAATATATTTGTCTGAAAGTAAAGAACTGGATCACAGCTACAAACACAGCTAATAAGGAAATGTTGGAATTATCTGGATTTTGTGGGAAATGTTTCTGCTCTCATACACAGATCATTGAAAAATAATGAGTTAATGTTTAATATGAGAATCTGCTGGGTTTCAGTAGATCACAGTGGATACGCAATCGAGCAGCGCTGCTGTCTCTGTTACTGCCAAAACAGATGGAGGCCAGCTGTTTAAAGGGTGGGGTCTCTCACTGTTGGGACTGTTTGTGTGTCGGGCGTGACGTTCCCGCTGCTTATTGCTCACAGGAATGCTGACACGTGCTCTTTACCTGCACATCGCTGCCAACATTATCGGGACGGCTGTAAATGCAGAGCTTCATAAAAATCATAAAAATTATGAAGCTACCACATGTTTTTTATCAAAATGTCATCTTCAAAAGACCCAACAAACACTTTCTGGCACTCGTCCGGATGTTGGAACTCATGAACAGGAGGGATGGACGAGGCTTCACATCTGGCCAGATGCTGAATTGCTGTCTCTTCACTAGATGATCCTTTTCCCAGGATGATCTGTGTGATTCATGCTGCTCATTTGTTTCTAATCTTAAAGGCATCTGTGAGGCAGGTACACCACCACCATAAGTTGCTGCATGTGACTGTGTTTCTCAGGTCGTCTCCGTGGCGGGGGTTCCTGGTAGAGGAGATCATGTGACCCTCGTCTTTGAAAGGATTTAGACTCAAACAGAAACATACAGTCAGTTAGGCCCCAAATGTAGAGTAAGAGTAGCTGAAGCTTCACAGATGGATGATGACGTGTCAGTGAAATTCTGTCTAATGAAGCATCTTTTTCCCGTCTCTTCTTTTAGATTGCAGAGGCCTACTCACTCAAACAGGACTGTATCCTTTCACGGACGGCTCATATCTCATCGTGACACTTGCAGTCAGTCACTGGTGTTTTGTAACTGAATCATAACTGAGCTCGACCGGCAGGCATTATAATTAAAAAGGGTTTAGGAGCATGTGCAGTACGTCCCCTCACCTCGTGTTTACCTTAGCTACCTGAACTTTGGGGCTTACAGGGTCAAAGGTAACACTGCTGAGCAAACGTTGAAATGTGGAGGGCAGAAAACCTCAGTAAGGTTTCGTCTTTCTCTTTGTCGACTTAATGCGGTTTTCTGTGTCTCTCAGGCGATGGGTGTTCCCCATGTTTTGGCTTTAGGCCCGAGGGGCTCGCAGTGTTTCCTCCTGCTCTGTTTGTGCTGTTGCTGTGGTGACAGCTATGGGCTGTCTCGCTGTGTGGTGTGTACGTAATGAGTTTATGTGTGAGGAGAAAAGAGCCGCAGAAACGCAGACCCTAACCCAAAGAGAAACACGTCCTGCAGAGAAGCACAGCAGAAGCAACAAAGGCAGGTTTGGATCGTGAACACATCATGGCTAAAAACACTGACGTGAATGTACGAAAACATAGATTCTTACTTTTTTAAAGTCATGAGTCACATTTGTCTTGGCTGACGGGTAATTTAACCCTCAGCTGGCAGTAGCCATGTTTCTGTCACGGTGTTTCACATTTAGCTGATGTTGTTACACCAAATGACATAAATCCAAAGTTGCTAATTGTTCTAACTGACCTTCAGAAGCTTATTGATGGCCTTGACTTGCGTCGTTTGTTCCTTCTGTCGTCTTTCTTCTGTCATCGGTCACCAGCTTTCTGAATTTGTCTAAAGTTGCATTAAAACAGGTGAATTGAAGCAGTTTGTATTGTCCATGTCAGGACTTAATATTCACTTCATAAAACAGCCGACAATTCAACTTCCTCGTAATTAACATGTAGTTGTTACAAATTTGACGTATTAGCAAAGATGGTTGGTGAAAGTATTTTTACCTGATGGCTGTTAGGGACACAGGTAGTCTTACAGACCTCCTTAAATACACTCTGCTTTTGTGTTATGGCCTTTATTATAGGATAGTAATATTGCAGTCAGTCTTAATTAATTTAAATGTCATGAGACGTCATCTGTATTATGAAGTGCTGCCCAAGTTGATCAGAGATGTTATTTTAGGAGCCAGTGTGTGTCTTTAACTGGTCGTGCTGTCAGACCAGTGGGCCATCCAGTTCTTACAGCTCGAGAAGCTCTACCATGAACGCCTGCTCTCCAACCTCACAGTGCTGCAGGAGAACTGGGGTTTGGCATCTTATCAGTCCTAAAAACACACACAACATATTCTCGTGGCAAAATGAAACTGCGTGTGATTTGCGTGTACCTGCACTTATGTGTTCGCAGAAAGCCAAGAGAGGGAGAAGGACAGCGGCGTGCCTCCTGAGACGGACGGCATGAGCGAGAAACACTTTGAGACGCTGAGCCAGATGTGCAGAACTCACCTCAGGTAAACCACAGTGGGACACGTCGCATGGCTGTGATGTGGCTCCGCTCATACACAGACAGCAGCGAGTCGAGCAGCTCAGTGTCTGAAGTCAATTCTTTTGCATTCATTCCCTCCTTTTGCTGTCACACAGAAAGCTTTTAGCACCAATTTTGCTTTAATCTGCTGCTATCTTTGTCTCTCTGACGAGGACAAATCAAGACGTTGAGACTGAGCCACAGTATCGATGATGCGTGAGGATAGAGGGATGAATGAAAATCAATTTGAATAAGTGTAAATATGAATATCAGTATTGCAGGAAGGGCACCAAAGATTTGCCCTGTAGATTCATTTCCACTCGATGCAGACAGACACCAGGAGTTTGCACGCCGGACGCTGGTGGTCACGCTCTGATCCAGCTGGTATGTTACTGCAGGCCAGGGTCTCTGCAAGCAGGAGGATGTAGTTTGACTGAAGGACAGATGAGAGCCTGACAAATGTCTAAAATTGTTTTCTCATAAGTTCAGTAATATATTAACAACCTCTCCTCCTCTTTTCTCCTGCTGCCTGCCTGGTCTGTGTTTGGAATCACTCAGACCATCCATCAGTGTGGAACAGGTAGGACAGACCAGCACCAG